GGTAGAGACCACCATGCCCGAGTTGAGATCCTGAGCCATACCAGATGTTTAATGCAGAGTTGATCCCCACAGCACAAACCATTGTCTCACTAAAAAGGAAAGCTGTTAAGTCTGTTGGCCATTCCCAGCTTCAGCTGTATTTTGTTTATGTATGAACAGCAGCACTATGATTCTGACATTGTCTATTCCTCCATAGGCAACAATAGCAAAAGTGTCAGGCTAGCATTACAAATTAATAATATTTCCTCTTTAATTTTGCAATGCAAACGACTTTATATCATTAGAAAATAAAGTCTGAAACTTTCAGCAACAATACAAAAGCAGAAGAACGCCAAGATGAAGAAACCCAGGGCTAATTGCAAAATAATTCGAAAGTAAAACAGTCTCAACAGTTTAGATAATTAAACATTTGATGGTGGGCTTTTGTGTTGCTCACCTGTGTCCCATCCCCATTCACCAGGGGAGGTAGGAGAGACAAATCAACATTGAGAAGTGAGGCTGCCTCAAGCGGTGCTGGTTTATCTGCCATTATCAGAAGTACAAACACACACACGTCCTCTTCCAACTCCTGATTTGAAAAAAAAAATGTTTTAATAGAACATCAACAACAATTTGAATAGAATATTTCATAAGTTAAACCTATTATGTTCATCCAAAAATGGTTTGTTGCTGGCCGAGCTTTATATCAACATTTTCTATTACAACCCCCTCACAGTTTCGGATCCAAAATCCTCCCTGCTTGATCAAGACCTTCAATGTGACTTCAATGTGGATGGCCATTGGCTGTATTAGAAATAGTAAATTAGGAGCAGGCCATTCAGTCCCTTGTTTCTACTCCATCATTCAACTTGGTCATGGCATAGCTTCTCAAATATCTCTTTTTCCACACTCTTCACATACCACTTAGTTTATTTCATAAAATCCCTATAATGCACAAAGAGGCCATTTTGGACCATTGAATCTATGCTGACCTTCCAAAGGAGATCCCATCCAGACCCTGATCCCCACCTAATTACCATGTTTAATCCACTTAACCTGTGCATCCCTGGGCACTATGAGGCAATTTAGCATGCCCAATCCATTCAACCTACACATCATTGGACTGTGGGAGTAAACCCGGAGCACTCAAAGGAAACCCACGCAGACACAGGGAGAACATGCATACTCCACACACCCAGTCACCCAAAGCTGGAATTGAACCTGGTTCCCTAGCGTTGTAAGGCAGCAGTGCTAACCACTGAGCCACGATGCAAATTTAATGCTGTATCTAGAAATCTATCGACCTGAGTTATGAACATACTCAATGACTGGGCCTCGTCACTCTCTGGGAAGGGAATTCAAAAGATTACTACACTCAGATTAGCAGTCTTGTCCTTGTCCCACTCATCTGTTGCTCAAATCCTATTAGGTCTCCAACATTTACCACGTTCCGATGAAAGGTCATCAATTTGAAGCATTGACTTTCTCTTTCTCCACGGATACTCCCTGATCTGATTATTTCCAGCATTTCCAGCATATCCACAGTATTCTGATTTTTGATTGTGACCTTTTGAATTAAGTTCTTTTAAATATACTGACTCTTAGTACATTCAAGTGAATGCAACTAGTATATGAATGGTACCATATCAGTCGCCAGGGGCTTCATTATCCATAGTTATTCAAACTTAGTTATCCAAAGCACCAGTGACTCCATTATCTTAAGTTCGTTCTGTTATGCTCTTTTGTTTTCCTTATTGGAAATCTTATGATTTGTCTGTAACTGCTCACCCACCTCATCTTCTTCTATGATGTCCTTAGATGTTTGCCAGCATTATATCGAGTGCTGTCCGTTTTATGTTCAGTCTTGAGGCACATCCAAAAAATACCTGACTTTCATTTCTAACGTTATTCAAGCCTCACTCAATGCTTGGGAAAATAAAACTTCATATTATTAAGCTATTATCTTCATTAGATTGTTTCTTAATTTCCAGGTAAAACAGTTCATGTCACGTGACAAAAACAAATTGCTGGTGAAACTCAGGAGGTCTGGCAGCATATGTGGGAAGAAACCAGAGTTAACATTAAGTCCAGTAACTCTTCATCAGAAACGTTAACACTGTGTTCTTCCCACATTTGCTGCCAGACCTGCTGAATTTCTCCAGCAATTTCTATTTTTGTTTCAGATCTCCAACATTTGCTGCTTGTTTTATCATGTCATGTGTCTTCACAAATTCTTATCAGCAGTTCAGCTCTGTCCAGTCACCAAAGTTTCTCCAATGACATGCCTCCATTGTTTGTTATCCTTATATTATGTTTAACTTCTCTACATTTCACCAAAGCTATCCCTGTACAGCCCATGGCTCTCCAGTACTAAACATAATTTTTGCTCCCCCACCAGTTTCTACCAAGCCTATGTGTATTCTACCTGCAGCAATTCTTCCAGGTGTCCCCACACTTTCAGCATTTGTTTACAACTCATTCAACGCAATTGTTTATACCACACTTAATGAATTTGCTTACATTTTGCTTCATGCTGATAGATTCCAGTACTCACAAATATCTGTTAAACGCATCTCCTAATGCCCCACAACCACAAGCTACAAGGACAAACCACAAATTAACAAAAAGCATTTGATTTTACAAGGCATCGTCAATATGAACAAACTAAGTACCGCTGTTCTATTTTAACATATTCGGACCTTAAGATCAGCTATAGATGTAATAATATCTGGTTAATTCTTCACAAATTATTGCATTCATGTGGGGTTCAGTTAGTTAAAAGGCTAAGGCAAGTACACTCTAATTCATTCAGCGGATTTGGACGTCGCTGGCCATGTCAGCGTTTATTGCCCCATCCCCAACTGCCCAGAGGGCAGTTAAGAGTCAACCACATCGCTGTGTGGTCCAGTGTCACAAGTAGACCAGACGAGGTAAGGACCACAATTTCCTTCCCTAAAGGACAGCAGTGACACACATGGGTTTGTCCAACAATTGACAACATCATTAAACTATTAATTCTAGATTTTTAGTGAATTCAAATTTCATCATCTGCCATGACAGGATTTGAACCCAGGTCCCCCAAAACATGACCTGGCTCACTGGATTATGGTCCAGTGATCATACTGACTTCAGTTCTGAAGAAGTCACTGGACCTGAAACATTTACTCTGCTTGCTCTCCACAGAGAGTCACACCTGCTGAGCTTCTCCAACAATTTCTGTTTTTGTTTGTGATCAAAAATATTGCCCGTTACAGATATTTTTTGTTCATGCCTCATTGGAAAAATCTGCTTCCGTAGTCAAGTTCAGACTTCTTAGCAAATGAAACATCATTTTATGCAGTAGTATGCCAGGAGATTACAGGGCAAATAATCAATCCATTTTCATCATCAAGTTAATCATTGGAAGTGGAAGCTCATTATTTCAAAAATTCTACTAAGACAAGTAACATTTTTATGACATTCAACAGAAGATCAAAATGAACAGATTTAGCAAATTTACACTTTTCCATCGTTTTCAAAACATTAAATCAAGAAGCAACGTACTCCTTTTAAACAACTTGAACAATGTATCTTTTGCAGCACCAACTAATTGTACTAATAGGGTGTTTTTAAAACACAAACATTCCAAGGCACCTCCTAGGAAAATGCTAAAACAAAATTAACATCAAACCATAGCTATATTAGACCAAATGATCAAAAGCAAGTCAAGAAGGTAGATTCTAAACAGCAGCATAAACCAGCTAAACTGAAGTAGCGAGGTAAAGAAGTTTAAAAAGGGAATCCAGAGCATAAGACCTTGGACGTTGAAGTCATAACCATGGCAGACTAATTAAAATCAAGAATGCTCAGGAGAGGTCAGAATTATCTTAGGACACTACTTCCAAACCTTGTTCTCACTGTGGTTCAATATCGAGGTTTGAAAATTGTCACAACCCCTCAATGAGAGCGAGTAAGGTGGGGGTGAATGGGGGAAAGAGGCGTCACAGCAGGTGCACAGCTGTTATAACTTAGTGGAAGCTCCACAGCTCACAACCCCACGTGGGAATACCTGTCTTAGAGGGTTGTATAAGTGGAAGAGATTAAAGAGGTAGGGAGAAACCCAAGGAATCTTCAGTTGGCCTTTGCCTCTATGGAGGTACATAGAAAAGAGAAACGAAAACAACCTGCAAGAATCATAAAAAATAAAACAAAGAATTGCAGATGCTAAAGGTGTGAAACAAAAACAGAAACTGCTAGAGAAAGTCAACAGGTCTGGCAGCATCAGTGGAGAGAAAGCAGAGTTAACACTTCAAGTGTGATTGAGGTAGCTGCGCATGGGCACATCTGTATGTATGTGTGTGCATCAAGGGCATAGAACGTGCTGTTCAGGCCCTAACATTATTCAACTCGATATTG